GCCGGCCACCCAAGCGCCTTGCTTTGCAGTGATACACGGGATGCCGGAGAAATTAAGTGATAAAGGACCAGAAAGACCCCCAAGATGAGAACTTAACGAGCTACAAGACCCCTGATCTGTTTTGCACCTCATGGGAATGTGTGTAGGGGAAACCCTTGCAGGTATTAAGTTTTCACTGTGTATTTTTTGATGCGTGGGTGTTTGTCTTTCCAGTACTTGTCAGAGCACCCCCTGCACTTAGAATGAAGCACTGACATCCAACTAGGATTTGCTCCCTAGCGTGTTATTTTCTCCCCTCCTCCCAGATGTGGTCAGGATGAAGACTTTGCAGAACCATCCCGGCAAACCACCCCTTTGGGCCAAAGCGTAGCCACCCTTGCCAAAGCTAAGGGCAGGCAGAGAGCAGCAGCCAGGGAACCGAGGGCCCCAGCGGGCTCGGGTCACCACAGGTCCCTCCCTGGTGCCAGCCTCACGCCGCCCCTCACCTGTGCCTTCTGGAGCAGCTCGATGATGAGAGCGAGCCAGTCGGGGAGCAGCTTCTCCAGCTCCAGGCTGACGATGGCCAGCGCCAGCATGGAGCCCTTGAACTGCAGCAGCTGGTAGCAGGCCATGCAGTGCAGCAGCTGCTTGGTGAGCGCCGCCACGTGCTGAGAGGGGCTCAGCTTGGGCAGGACGGTCAGGAGCTGAGGCCTGTTGGACACCGCAACCGCGTGGAACTAGTGGGGGGAAACAAGCACATGAGGCAGGGGGTGTCGCCGACGGGCGACCCCACAGGCAAAGCCGGGTCAGGCCTCGAGAAGGGCATGTGGCTCATCGTGGGTGCACAAGGATAATCTTCCAGCTGAAACTTCAAGGCAATTTCCACATCAGAGAAGAAAAACAACGCACTGAACCCACCAACAGCTTGGCGCAGCCTTTCTGGTGGGGCCTGCCAGAGAAGTGTTTTTTCTTTGGTTCTATTAAATGTTTTTCTACTGTCTGGCACTTAGTTTTGAGCAAAACCACTAGGGATTAAGACTTAGGGGCGAAGTTTTTAGGAGCCGTGCGTCTTAGTGTGTGGCTTAGCATGTCCCAAAACAGGTCAGACAGTCATATGGCAGGCCTGCGTTTTGGAAATTGAGCCTTAAGTGTCACAGCCTCCCCTGAAATTCTCAGGCAAGGCTTTTTCTTTCAGGAACTACTTGTACAGAGAAATTAAGAAATTTGCTCTCCTACAGGTAGAGTTTTTGTCCAGGTACCTTATTTACCCCAACAGACACCAGAAAGAATGTACATAGCCCTTTGCTTACAATGTGAAGGAAATCCAGTGGCGTTGCCATGTGAAGATCCCAGTTCAGTTTATCCAGGATAATCTTCTCCATTCTGCGAATCTCAGCTGGAGAACAACCACAAAAGCTGTCCCGAGCCAACACCTTCAGTACTGGAATCCTCTGGAAAAGCCAAAAAACAGAAACGAGAGAACCAGTCATTAGAGAAATGACACAAAACGCTTCATTCCTGTCCTGACGAGTGCCAGCCACCAAGCGCGAGCACAGGCAGGACTGTAAGAGCATTTAATCAGCCAACGCTAGGGGAGGAAGATGAATAAAATTACCTCATCTTCCTCGATGGTCTTTGCAGCGAGAAAGAAGCAGCTGATTGCAATACAGTTCAAGTACTTTGGACGGGCCTGCGGTACAGAAGAGCAGAGAAGTCTGTGTGTGAATGCGCTGCAAAAATTAGGCATAATTCTTTGTGGTTGGACATCCTGAGCCCCAGGGTCTCAGCTGCCCACACAATGTGTTCTGGATCAGCGGGCTGACCTCCAGCCTGCCTGAGGCAGTGGCAAGCCGTGCCGAGCTAAAAATCCATATTCCATGACGTAAGGCACGAGGGCGATCTGCCAGCCCTGGGATCGTGACTGGCACCACGCTGGAGTGGAAAGAGCTCGGTTTTAGGCAGCACAAGAGAAATAGAAAGGAGAAATTCAGAAGGGCCAGGCTGTCACCTTGCAAAAAACACATTGCTTCAGCAGAATTCTGCTGCTGGGGAGTCAGCATGGGAAAGAAGAAAAGAGAATTTAAGAACACTGTCCCATAAAAATCATCAGTCAGGTAATTTCACGCTGCAGTTCTCAAAACGGTGGCTCAGGTTGTTGAAGGAGAGCTGGTCCCTTCTACAGTGAGTTATTTTAGGTAAGCTAAGTGAAATTTGCAGGGAGAAGGGTGATTTTCTTTCATGTTTATCAAAAATTCATATGCCTCAGCTGAGGTGATGGGAGAAGCAGGATGCTTGGGCTGGAAGTATTCACATGGTCCCTGTGATGGACTGGACTGAGCACCTGCTCCAAATATGGTGCCTCTGGTGGAGCTGGTGCTTAGCAGCAACGTCTGTCAGTCTGTCCGTCTGACCACGGGATGTGTGTGTCTGCCCGCCAAGTGGTGGGAAATGCAGAGCCACCAATTCTAAACCTTGTTGCTGCCAAGTGAGCAGGCTGGCAACTGCTACTCTTGTCATGTTAGGAGATGCTAAAAGCAAAAGGTAAGTAAGAATCTTGCACCAAATGTAAAAATCTGTTTACAACCTGAACTGGTACCACGGTTTATTCTTGCTAGGTAAATCTTGGCAGGTGCAGCAGAGCTATGGGGTGGTTGAGGGGTGGGGTGTTCCACTCATGCAGTGAGCTGTCAAGAAATCCAGAACACTGTTCCCAGACAGTGAATATTTACCAATATTCAGCTTCAGTTACTTAAAAAGGACCAGGCCGTGCAGAGAGCTTTGGCTTTCCAGTGTCATTTGAACTTTGCTACGTGTAAGGAATCCTCACTTGGCGGGGCGGGAGGCAGGAGTGTGCACATGCACACGTGTGCTTGTGTGTTCAGGTGTCACTGCAAAGACACTAAATTTCCTTAGGGCAAGACTGGAATTTGTTCTTGACCATGCCAGGCAGGTTCTAAGAAAGCTGCCAAGTTAGCAGAAAATAACGTAGAGCGAAGCAGGACACCTGCTGCACTGTATTTGGGGAAAGGCAGGTGTCGGGAGCAGGTCTGTACCATCAGGGAAGCTTTTGCTCCTTATTATTTTTAACAATAATTTTTGTCTTCCGACTGCATCCCCTCTGGGGACTGCCCTGGCAGGAACAACTGTGTCTGTTGGCAAAATACGTTAAAATTCAGTCACCCATCCTGTGAAGGGACTGGCTGTCTTAATAATGAAATCTCACAGTGCAGCACCTGGTAAAACCCCAGGAGTTAAGCTGCATCAGAAGAATAACGCTGGTGGGGAGAGGAAGAGAAACACCTTGAGCTGGTTGAACAATGCTCACCCAGACAAAACGCTGCTCGCTGCCTGGCGCTCCTTACTTGCACTCTCATGCTTTCTTTGCAGACTCCTTGCCTGCTGCAAATTACTGCAAAAAAACCAACCCTGTACTCGAGGCCATTAGCTATTGAGATACTGAAATGCATTTCAGTAAATCAGCCACTTGAAGATTTCCTTAAAAATAAAAGCTTGTAATTAAAACTTTATTAATATTTCAAGGCTAGGTTAATGGATGATGTCACATCGAAACAGAAGTACGCAGGCTGAGACTACATTCTTTGCTGAAACCTTTTAAACTGCCCGGCTTGCCTACCCGTGTTGGTGATGACACTGTGCACCCAAGCAGATGAGACTGCAGCCTGGCTGAGCACCCCGCGTCACTGAGCAAACAGGCTGAGGTAAAGCTGGCCCAAACCTGACTTCAAGCTCAAGGCCAGGGATTTTGGGTTGACCCACGGTTCGTTCAGTCACCTGTGCAGATGCAAAACACGGCCCAAGCACAGCGCACCCCCCTGGCAGACTGAGAGGGACAGAAGAGCAGCAGATCCCAGCTGCAGGTAGCCCATAGGCTGATTTTTACCTTGTCTGATTTTTAAATGAATTTTCTGTAGTGTAATGGCCTTAAAACCAAACAGGCATGTATATCCCCTGTTTGTCACAGGAGCAGCCTTGCTTACCTCGCTCTCCCCTTCACGTCTGTCTGACTTGACGTCAGTCTTGAGCTCTTTGCCTGTCAGACCGGCTACAGACTGTTCTTTTTATCTAAAGCCTAACCTCTCTGCAGCCTCTTTTTCCAATTGCTGAAAGGAACGAGTACTGTGCTGAGCCAAATTTCACTTCAAACCAGGCTAAGAGCAAGCACGCAGCTGAGAAGGAAGGGTGCTTCTTTCAGGTTAATACACATTTAAACTCAGGAGCTGCGTTATATGAAGGGAATAGGCAGGAGACAGGAAAGAGGGAAAATCTTTTTGGCAGGTGTAAGCACGGGGTCAGCTCCCTGTTCTTTGTTAAATAACTGCAGAAGGAATCCACCTCTGAACGCTGCTGACGGCAGCATGTGCTGTCCATTCCACAACCCAAAATGAAGCTCCTGGAGTCAGACAGGTACCAGCCTACCCATGGGTGAGAAAGGACAAGGGGGGAGTGGGAGCAGAGGGGGGAAGTAAGCGTTTCCACACAGCTGCACCGCTCGGACTGTACATAGAAATAGCTGAGTGGGTGGTATAAATCTATTTCAGTTTATGTATCTGCAAATATTTACCTTTACTGTAGCTAAAAACCTGTCCAAAAGGCTGATGGCCAGGGCGAGCGTTTCTGGATAAAGGTGGAACTGGCATTTGAGCTTGGCCAGCCACTGAATGACCTCATCCCTCTGCTTTGGAGAAATGGCTACATCCTGGGGAGAGAAAAACAAACTGTGCTTAAACACAACCTGAGCAAGTTAGAAAAGACCAGACATTTTAGCTCTGCAGGAGTTATTCAGCACAGAACCAAAGCCTCCCGTGGAAAGTGGGGGTCCTCGAGCCACCTTGCATCCCCACTTTATTCTTGTAGTTACTTACCCCATCCCAAGAAATCTGTCTCGAACAAGACAATTTGGCTTGCAGCAACCTCAGACACCACTCGGAACTGCCACTGCACGCTGGGGAAAAGCTGAAGGACGTCTTGGAGTTTCTCTAAGAGTGACAGGGTCTTCTCTGGCTTAGCTCTAGGGGATTTTTTTTTTTTCACCTCCTTAGAACCACGTACACACAGAGAAATGCCCAGCTTGAACAGAACCAGACCTGCACTGGGAGACAGGCGGGTGCACAGGAGGGGAGGGACCGCGTTGGTATTTTGAGAGGAAAGGTGTATTTTTCCTTCACATTACGGGGATGCTTTTAGTTTAGTATCTATTACAAAAAAAAAAAAAATCCAAACAGCTTACAAAAGACCAGTAGCAGTACATATCTGTACTGGGGTAAAGCAGGTAAAATTTCCCCTAAAAACTTTGGGGTTGGTTGGGGTTTTTTTTTTAACATTTGGGCCTGAGTCACTAATATTGACTTGTTTGGACTAGAGCTGAATTTCAGCCACGTGAAGAGATGAGTTATTGACATAAAATCTTTCTGACTTCCTTCAGAAGTATTTACAGTTTTTTTAGACCCTTTCAATTCAACCGTGTAAATGTCTGGTCTTACTTCAAGGGAGATTATGTGGGGTGCTTAACACAGATATGTCTGGAAATGAAAGCAAACAAACTTCTTGTGCTGTTCTCAGGGTTCTTGTGCTCTTTTGGCTCCTGCTGAGGTGGTTTAAGAGCACGAAGGGGAATGAAATGCTGGCTGACCATTTACTGTGGAAAAGCATGCTAAGGGCTTGTGTGAAAAAAGCGCTGCGGGGCTGGGTTGTAGCTGTCCTCCCTGCAGTATCTGAGCCGTGAAAAGCAGCAGAGTTTGAAACAACAAAACCACCAAATACTGATGCAAAATAAATACTTCGGGCTCTGTACGGCACCAGAGTACCTACCCTGTGCAATACACTTTTTGTTCCAAGTTTACTGACTCTTTTCCCTTAAAGCCAAGAATAAGTGAGAAAGCAGAGTGTAGTAGGCTGAACTCTATAATGATTGCAGTGTGGCCTCCACGGGGATGCTGGCTTCACACCTTTCATTGTTACTCACAGTGTGACACCTTTACTCTCTGTGCTTAATTTCTTACTCGCACTGAGCTTCACCTTCACCGCCGAGCGGAGGGTGGCAGGGCTGGAGCCCCGGTGCCACATTCTGGCTTGGTGACAGCAGGTGCGTGACCAGTTACTGCCGCTCCCAGACCCGCCGAAATGTGGCTCAGCCCAATTCCCTTAGGACAAACACAACAGGAACAGGGCTACTGTAGCAGGGATCTACGCCGAAGAGAGAGGGTTGTGCAGTCTAAAGCTGTTTGATGCAGCTGTACTAGCTGGGCCAATAAACCTGCCTTCAGCACTGCACCAGGTGCTCCCCTGAGGAGAACAAAGTCCTGCCTTGTCTTCCCTCCTGACGTTCCGATGGTGCAACAGCTTTGCCAGGGCTGTGTCTGACCCAGATGTGCGTCTGGTCTCAGCTGGGACCTCCAGATGCCCCTTCACTGTAGTGAGGTTATTTAAAAAGCACCTACTATTTTTGGGACAGAAAAATATTTTTCTCAATTCCAAGATACAGTGATCCTTTCTAGAACTGTTACTGCAACCGAAGGGTGAAATCTGAGCCCCACCAGGGGCAGGGCAGTGGCTGGATGCAATGCGTTGCCCTCGTTCCAGAAATGCTAGTTTGATGTGCGCTGGGAGCGTAACGAATTCACCACACAACAGTAATGAGTTTATTAAATGCTCTGCTAAAAACATCTTTTGGTCAGCGGGCTAGGGATTAGAGTGTATCTGGGGAGAAAACAGGACAAGGCTATGTGAGATACTGGCTCTCCTTAGAGAGCTAAGTGAGGCCTGCAGAGCTGAGCCTAAAATGGGGGAAAAGGGAGGAGTGATAGTTATGATCGAGCCCCTTATTGCTTTATTTGTTGTGCCAGGAAGGAGGCAAAGCTGTACAGAAGGGCCTATAGCCACAGCCAGGCTGGGACAATAGCGTGCACTCCAAAGGTTTTGAGCAGCGTAGAGGATTGGTTTGGAAATGCAGTATGTGGGTGAAGGCAGCAGGTGAGCTCTGTGTGTTCCTGCTAACTGCCAACCTGGAACGACCCTGTCCGGCAAAATAAACTTGACTTTAAACACCGGCCTCTGATTCTTTTAATCACTGCCCAGGTCCTGCCACAGCACCTTTACCAGTGATGCCATTAGGAAGGGGATTGGGCTCTAGAGGAGGGGATGAAAACATGCCTGTCATGCTCCTCCTCCTCGCTGGGGAGGCAGGGCCATGCCTCAGCTGCACGGGGTTATCTTTCACATCCCAAGTCCCTTTCCTGCTAGATCCCAGCTTCAACGTTGGCTCCTGGCAGTGTCTGTGTTGGCTCAGCGCTGATTTCCCTGTGCTGCCAAAGAAAAAGGTTAGGCCTTCTCCTAAAACCAGCATGGGTGGGAAGGGTAAGATTGTCTTTCCACACTGCCACACAGCCTTCAATCCTCCCAAAGCTTGTCCTCGTACCTTCCTGACCGTCATGGGCAGCGTGAGGCAAAATTTCAGAATTGGGAGATAGCTGTAAAGGGCAAGGCTGTAACATAAAGAAGAGCAATTGCAGACTCACTCAGTCCTTGGTAACAACTGTCCTTTCCATGTGCAAAATGACTGGTGTTTAATCTAAACCACTGAAAAACAGCTCTATCTAAGCAAGACATGAAATTAAAACAAAGACCAGCCCCCATGCAGAGCGCCTTGTTCTCTTAGCATGAAGGAACAGCTGCAAAGCGAACTCACACCTGGGTATGTGCACAGCACAGGTGAGGCTTCAAAAGAAACTCGGGCTTCTTAACAACTATGTGGGGAAGCAAAGGAAAGGAGGTGAATCTCCAGCTCTTTTCTGCGCCAAACTTACAAAACGTCTGTCTACACCAGCCTCGAAGTGCAAATAAAGGAGCAGAAGGGCGGCGAGGGGAAGACCTGGTGGATTTAAACCTGCCCTCATCAGGCAGAAGGAATGAGACCTGGGCCCATGGCTACTTCCAAGCAGGGCAAGGAGCTTCCTGTCAAATGTATCGGTCTTTATCCCTCTCCCTTGAAAGCATATGCCTGTGTCAGCCTAGGAACACAAATAAGAACTGCAGCGCTGTAAAATTAATTAAGCAGCGTGGTCACTGTTCCTTGGTTACATAAAGTTAGAAGCAAAACTGAGACACTATGGGGGCTGAAACTAAAAGAAAAAGTCACTTTGAGCTGGAAAGCGAAAGTTCCTCTTTGATGTGGAGGTACTTTCCAATCGAGGAGCCGTCTGCCACTCGCCACCTCTGCGTGTGGCCAGCTTTTTGTTTTGTCCCCACAAATCCACCGCTGCAGAACTCAGCCCTGGGGGTGGAAGAGCACGCTAGCCTAGCGTGCCAACTTTGACTAGGGGAACTTAACCCTGGCCCAGCAACAGCAGACTGCGTTTTCATGTAGCAGGTTGCTCTGAGACAGACCTAACAACCACCCTTGGGGCTGAAGCACAATCCATCTCCTCTGGCTCGCGCTTTATTTTTTGATTTGGAGGGGAGGCCGCGGACACACATAACGGCAGCGCCTCACTCACCATGTCCATCATTTTACCACTGCGAAGCGAGCAGCCGCAGGGCTCAGTAATTCTGCCCAAGGGAGGAAACACAGTGGCCCGTGCAAAACACGCAGACCTGAGGCCTCCAGCATCTGCGATCCTTAATACCTTATCTGTCTGATTCACAAATCGGTGCCTCAAACCCCATTTCTTAGATATTCCGCCACAAAGCTGCCCGTGAGGCCTTGGTGGTGGCGAGAAGCACACAGAGCTGCTGTTGAGCTTTCTGCTTACCGAGTCTGGTCACCGTCCCTGACCCCATAACCCTGCCGCGGAGCCCGCTGCCGGAGACAGGAGGGCTGGTGGCCACAACTCAAGCTCCAGAGCGCAAATCACCTCTAAGAATACCTTGGGACTTTTGAGAAAGTGCAGGCTAAAATAAAATACTATCTGTGAACTCAAATGTGACTCCGTTTTATTGCTGCCTAGTCTAGGAAAAACACCTCACCTGATAACTTTTTTTTTTTAAATGTCTGCTGTCCTAGACAGAGATGTTTTGCTCTTTCCCCTATCTGTTTCAGCCTAGTCCTGCTGCGGGCTGCGTGGGGATCACGCAGGTCACCTTTACAAGGACTGCAAGGCTTTTGAAAAGGGTGGCTGTGAACATCACAGCCAAACCGATCCTTCCTTGGGTCTCAGGACTGCTTGTTTCACACCAGAGCAACCCTCAACTAACACCCGCCGGGTTGCTTCTCGCTTGTACCAGCTGGGAATTCCAGGGCTCCCCCGATACCTTTCGGAAGGCACATTCCGCGGGGTTTGCCCACGTTTTCGTGGTGCAGCAAAGGGCTCAAGCACGGCCTCCACCCCCCGCAGGGTAACAGGGTAACAGGAGGCGGGTGCTGCTCGGCAAAGCCAAAGAGCTGGATGCATTAACCACCTCACCACATTTTATGAAATCGGTAAGTCAGCTTCTGATTTGCCTGCTGGTGTGTAAAAAAGGCACCCGAAGGTGAAAGGGCCGACCCAAGCGTTAGACAACAGAAAAAATGGAAGTAAACTAAGGTTTCCTGATTCCTCAAGAGGTACAGAGAGCAAAGTGAGAAGACAAAAAGAGCGAGCCAGAACAGGCAAGAAAGGAGAAATTAGAGGTGACATTTTGTTTCTATAAAAAAAACCAAAACAAAACCTTTGCCTTACACACCTCTCTGCTGCGAAGGTACGTGGTATCACGCAAAAAAATCACCTTTGACGAGTCTTTACTGCTTGACTTCTCAATTGCACAAAAACCTCTGAATGTCATCAGCGTACTGTAGAACCCAAGGAGGGGAGGGAGAAAGAAGGAAAACAAACAAAAAAACCAGACCAAATACATTGATAAACACTAGGTGGGTTCCAGATTCAGCCCACCTATTCTTTTTGAGGCTGAAAAACCCTGGTGAGATCTGGCTTTGATATACGGCGCATAATTGGAGCCAGTGGCCTGCATTTAAAGGAGGGAAACTAAAAGAAATACACATGCCAGCAGGAAATGCGGGAGTTTTCAGACCAAAAGTAAAAAAACAGGACAATCACATACATTAAATTATCAGGTCCCAAGTTCCTCACCAATTCTGCATCCTGTACTAAAAATGTAAAGTCCTCCTGTTTCTCTGGCTACGAGTTTCTTTCTGTAGCTGGCCCACCTTTGCAGCAAGGACTGGGAAGTTACACACGCTGCGGGTTGCCAGATCTGATACACAGAAAGATGCAGATTTCCTGCCTGTCCTGGGAAATAAACACCAGGCTCATACAAGTGAGGTTTTAGGCTCCTGCAGCTGTTTTCAGAAGGCAGCAGTAGATGTCAGGGAACACGGCTTTCTTCCAGATATTACAGAAAACAGGGCAATAAGTGCTCAGCGACCCTGACTGCAACGTTGCCGTATTGAACGCTGCAGAAGTGGAGGCACACGTGACGGTTTCGAAAGTCAGGAGTCACAAACTGTAGGAACGGGGAGAAATAACGTGACGACAGATCCAGGGTTTTCAGCTCCACCGTGGTGCTGCAGGTCAGGATTTTCCCAGAGGAGACAGCTGGCTTTCTGTTCACTTTTTTAAACCTGACCTTCATACATTCCACACAGAGATTTCAACCCAATTTAATGATTATTTGCTGCCAGAAAGCGTTTAATAAATAGTATGGCGTTCTAGCTGATAGAGTCAGTGTCCGAATTGACATGAAGGAAAATATAAAGAAAAAAGGTTTCAAAGGTAACAACTTTTTGGTGGTGGAAATTCCAGAAGTGGAAATCCTAAGGGACAAGCACAGAGGAGGGCCAGGAAACACTCCCAAGCATGCACCTCAGTGATGCTGCCGGAGTGCAGGGGAGGAGGGAGGGTAGAAGAAACCCTTCATCATCGTGGCATAATTGCACACTAAAAGGACAAACCCTTTCTGCTTATCTAGCAGAAAACTTTATGCCGGCTTCAGCCATCGGGCTCTTTCCATATTTGCTCCTACTCTGACTTTTCACAGCAGGCAGCAGAGCTGCCTCCCCAGTTTCGTTATTCGGCAGACGGCCAGAAGTCCCGTCGGCTTCCCCGAGTATTTACCACTGAGGACAACGCTTCACGAGGTGCTGCAAACCTCAACCGCGGCGCCGTAAAGACCCCCTCAAGGTCCCTGGCAGCAGGACAACCGGAAGCACCTTGTCCCTGAGAAATCTTTACAGAAGAATCTGGTTTGGTTACACTCCGAGTCCCTAACCGACCTCGTTATACTGTAATCTTATCTCCCTACCTTATAATCCCTAACCCCAGGAATACTGCCAGCATGAAATAAGAGGCCGGTTTACCATAAACCAGGGGCTTCAGTTGTACCTGCCCGGGACAGCCACAGCTACAACGCCCCAGACAACCAGGCATCTTATTTCAAAACCTAAATGTGGACTAACAAACTAATACCGAGCCCCTTAAAAACATATTTGTTCCTACACAGTAACAGCAGTTTCTTGTTTGCCAGAGAGCAAAAACAAACACCACAGTGATTACCTTTGACAACAGCTGACACACTTGCGTGAACGTTTTATATGAATCAAGAACAGCGGGACTGGATCTGGGCCCATTTAGTGTGGTTATTTCTGCCCAACCCAGCGACAAAGTACCAGAAACTCTACAACCGTCCTCACGGTTCACGTTCTGTTTTAAAGGAAACTTTGTGGAGTTCACAGGCATTTCTGAGTGCACGTGCTTGACAGCAATTCAGGCTGCGTAAGGCCAGGAGTGACCCAGTCCGACCTCCCAGCTGGCGCTGCTGCAAAACTTGAGCAGGAGGTCGGTGTACAGACCCTTGTGGTTCCTTCCACCCTGAATTTTCCTCCAGTGCGATGGGAACATTCCTCACCGGCACAGGTGAGTCCAAAAAAATGAAGCTGCTTTTAGAACTGTTGCGGAGTTGGTGCCCACTAGAAATGCGGGTTAATTAACCACACAGTTTGTAAAAAAGAATATCATTAAGAGGATATATGTACGTGCTTTCACAAGGAATGGTGGAGATCTCAGTGCGCTGTACAGTCTGTGCCCCCTGTTTGCAGGTTTGTCCCTCAAATAGAATAGTTATGGCTTATTTACTCCATTCCCAGGTCTCAAGGAGAAGGTAACTTATGCAACAGCTTCAGTTGTTCACATAAAACCACACCAGCAGACACTCTCATGCCTTTACTGGGCTCAGTGGTGTGAAGAAGACATGTTACCTGATTGGGCTGAATTTTCGGCACACGTGCTTTCCACATCTGAGCTTCCCTAGAGATTGCCATCTCCAGAAGGAGAGACAACCTCTGGCTCTCCAGGGGTCCTGAAAACTTCATGGTAACCCTTGGATCCACCTGCCACCCAGCTGGATACAGCTACCTGCAAAACCAAAGAAAGCCTGGTGAAACGCTGAGCCATGCCTGCACGGTAAACTGCGCAAAAGAAAACGCAAAGGTGAGTAAATCGGCAAGAAACGAAACAGTGAGGCACGTGGCAAACCTACCCAAGGAAACCCAAACCAGTTGGCTCATATTCAAAGCAGGGCCAAGATGATCCAGAGGTCTCCGACACGTACATGGGTTGGACAGTCCTGCCTCTTTGAGGTTTTCTGCTTCTCTGTCATGCAGGCACACAGGCAAGACCTCTCCTGCTCTCAGCAGCACTCCGAAGTACGGGTGTTTTACGAAAAATACTTCAGAAGTGGGAGGAGCTGTACAGCAATCACAGAGGGGATTTCAGTAAGTTGCTTGTGCTGGCCCAAATCTTGCTGAAGTTAAAACCATTCTACTTGTGACTTGAAGGGAAGTTAAGACTGACATTCAAATGTTTTTCAAAAATACCAGCCTCGGAGCCTGGCTGGTGCCAGCCTTACCCCAGTACTCTCCGCAGCAAGTTCTGTACAAAACAGAGCAACGCTTGTTTGAGAATTTAAATGATTTACAAGCTGAAGCCTGACAAACAGACCAATGTTTTCCCTCTCTGCACGGTACGGTTTGTAACTCCTCACAGAAGCCATGACCTGTTTCCTGTGCGATGCAACTGTATCAACCAGGGAGTTCAGAAAGGTTCCTCTCAGGTCTAATCACTCTGAAAATACGTTAGGTCTAAAAAACTTTAGGGCACATCTCTAATTTTAGATAGGAAATGTGTTTTAAAGGAGGAAAAAAAAATAGCAAACTCAGTGACAGCCTTTGTAAAGCACGAATCGACCAGAAGCCAGGTAAATGATGGAGAAAATTGCTGCAAGGCCTAGAGTATTCTGAAACACCTGCTTCCACGGGAAGCAGTCATGACAAACAGCATACAATTCAAAGCAAAACATATACACAATTTATAGCAAACACAACAGAATAAAGGGGGTTCCCCTGGCTCTAGAGTAGCCTCACTCAGTGGTAGCAAAATGTCAAGAAACTTGTATATTTGAAATTAAAAATAAAGCAGAAGCAAGATTTTTTTTAATTTTTTTTTCGAGACAACAGATTGCACCAGCTGCTTTCAAATGCAGAAGATGATCTGACTGCAAAGGTTATTCAGATTGTTCTAATACTGCCTACCATTACTCTGGCTGCCAGTTTCTTGACAGTATTAAATCATTTAGGCAAAACAATTCAGCCCTGAAGGGTAAGTCCATGGGAAAGTTATTTAAACTTTCAATTTCTTCTGCAAGCTCATGAAATCCTCAACAGGTGGATATTGGCCAAATCCCAACCAGGCTATTTTATAAAGACCAGTTTGTTAATACAACAGTTTGTGCTGTATTTACAGGAAATAAGGCAACGTGTTGTCTCAGAGAAAATAAACAACATTCACTGTGAAAACAATATTTTTTTTATAAATAATAACAGTAGCTCAGAACAAATGAAGATTCAGAGTGCTGTCACAGGGTTAAGGGAAACTGTCAAATAAATATTTTTCTTTATCAATTTACAGGAGTTTTAATGGGCGCGATTCACACAGAACCTGCACGAGACATAAAACCACACTCAAGCCCCACTTAGAGCCAAGCAGGTTTTAAGTGGCAATTAAATGCCAAATCCTGAAACAGAAACCCCTTTTATATTAGGTTTTTATAAAACAAATGCTTCTCCACAAACAAAGGAGAGGCTGTGCTGCCTCGGCACACCCCTGCACGAGGAAGGTTTCCAGCCTGTCACTGAAGTGACCCAAGGTGACTGGGGCCATAGACAGATTTTCTGGCTGGAAGGAACACCTTGGAGCCAGGATTCCCAAAGGAGGCCCAAAAAAATCACTCCCCATCAGCCTCAAATGACTGAGTATCACTGTGGACTGAAAAATTCCTCCCTCATTTTACAAGAGGGAGGCTCTTGCTTGGGAAGAGGTGAAACTACATTTCTCTGAACAGAACTGTGGCTTGAACCACAGTTTGTTTATATGAATTTACTCCTTTTTTTGCATTTATTTTTTTTAAACCTCGGGGTGATCAGGCAAGTACTCCTACCACACCCTAAACGGGGCTGCTGTAAATGGGGCTACCAGCGAAGCTGAAGGAGAAACAGGGATGCACAGTCACAGCCTCCCCCTCGGAGGGGCTTCATTAGCCCCTCGTTATCTCCCAATCAAGACACTCCAGGATTCTCTCCGGTGGGATCACCCACCACTTCCAGAGCCCTCAGCACTTCCCAAGAAGGTGTAAAGCCCCGGGAAATGAGGACAGGGCTGCAGCCCTGCACCAGTGTTTTGAAATTTATTATTTATTTCATTGCCACCGCAGATTATCAGCTGCTACACACCAGGTAACTGGGTAAGATCCAGCAAGACATCAGCTACAATCACTCACCCCACACCTGGAAAAGACGGCGATTTAAGGAGCACTTGGCCTTGCCCAAGGTGAAATACATGCATGGAGGAAAACGTCCAGGTTAGGACCAGACTCAAAGGTCGGCGCAGCCAGTGGAGAGGCCAAAGCCAGGGAGACAGCAAGCTCCTTACTCCATGCTCGTCCGAAAAAAAGCAGGAGCTATATTTAGCCCTACCACGTCTCCTAATATGAAATATTGATGGTCCTTTCTTGGTTTTGCAGGAAAATTAGCCACCCCTCAAATCGCTAGAGAAAACAAAGGAAAATTTCAAGCTGAAGCGAGCATCCTCAGGCACCTTTTTTTTTTTCGGTTGTGACTGACAAACATTCCCACCGTTATTTACAACATAGGTTTCACAGGCTGCTGGGCCCAGAAAGGATTTTTCAGTTACCCTGATCCCTTTTTAAGTTGTCCCTGTATGGCCTCAACTGGTCAGTGGCCCCAGCAGAGAGCTTAGGGGCATCCCTGGAACACCTTTAGACACCAACGGCCCTGCAAGGGACATTTTTAGTGAGCAGTGATGGCAATTTTTCTTCAGTTGCCAGAGGTAAAAAAGAGGGAAAAATAACCTTTGCCTTCTGAACTAGAGAGGTAATTCAATGAGGGCTGACGCACAATAACCTTTATAAGGAAAAAAAAAAAAAGAAGAGGAATGACGTGCTTGAAAGTTTCCCTTGGAGCAACAGTGGTGCAGACTTTTCCAGCACGCCAGGCAATATGCCAAGCACCCTGAGGGCTGAAATGAGTTTGCATCTAAATTTATGTGGCTCTTAATCAGATAAATGCACGCCATTTGAAAAAAAAGAAAAGCCAAGAGACCCACAGCTGGAGGAACTGCGGAGCTGTGACGGTCACCATAAACTAACTCATCCTAGCTTTCTGCCTCCCTGATTTAAAATTAAACTTTAGCTCCAGGGTAATGTTGCTTGCTGTTTGTGGGTTTTGGTTTTTTGGTTTTTTTTCTATGGGCTCTTTGGGACTTTCTAAACTACTGCTCAAACAGTTCTTAAAATTTTCTGATTCTTCACTAAAGGTCAACTGGCTACACCGAAACTTCTTAAGAGCAGCTGGAAAGCTAGGAAAAGAGAAGTGAGCCGAGTCAATGCACTGGGTTTGTTTTGATGTTGCCTGCGTGCGAAGTCACAAGCTGCAGGGTGAATTTTGCTCTGAAATTCAAGAGTCAAAACCTTGGTGTGAGGTTGTCGCTTGTGAGAGGCATTAAAAATCACCTGCTTATCCATTAAAAATACCCCGACTTGGTGCATAAAATGTAATCTGTCTCATAAAGGTCTCTTTTTGATCCAAGTTTAGAGCTGAGTCTACTTAAAGAGGTACTTTCAGTTTCCCTAGAGAAGTTTTACACTGCTAAGTGCTGCAGGCTACGGTTTTCAAACGCAGTTTTGTGTTTGCAGTAATCGGGGCAGACAGCTAGCTAGCCAGAAACGCTTTTTGGTCTGAGGGAGGTGTGTGCATGTGTGTAGCGTGCAAATAATCGATTATTTTTATTTCTAGGCGTTGTAACCATTCACACTGACAACGAGAAGTGCCTCCTGCAGACAAAAGGTGCAGTTGCAGAAACATCTTACCCACTGGTAGGAAAACCTCCCAACATGGTTTCTGATTTTCCTCTGCCTCCCATCACAGTTCAATACAGTGCCAATACAACTGCACTGCAAATAGGATCACTGAAACCATTCAGGGCAACAGTAAAAACCCCTTTTGGTTTGATTGTGGGGGTTTGGTTTTGTTTTGGGGGGGTTGTGTGTTGTTTTTTTAAATGTAGATAATTTTATAAATAAGATTTCTGGGACTAGAGACAGCCTACTAACCCCACTATCTTTATTTTGCACATAAATCCAGGTAGGTATTCTGGACGAGGGGTAATTCCTATAGAGTTTAAACACCACACGCATTTTGGCAGACCTTGTTAAGTATTTTCAGCAACCAGCAGCCAAATCTGCTTCAGCTTTAGCAAGCAATAATAGAATCTTACAGATGACCCGAAAACAGACTTTTGTGGGTGGGGAGGAAGGTGGAAGAAGAAGGAAGAGAGGAAGGAGCCTGAATTCCTCCGAGCTTCAGCCAGCCATCTGTGATTTCAAATGATCAAAACGGAGTTTGCACTGCTAGGAAGAAACCGTTAAACTGCAAGTTGTGATTAGAAATTTCAAAGCTGTGGGTGGGTGGGATGGATGTTAATTTTAGTATCTGGGGCTTTCTCTTAGCTTAACTCTTTCCTCACCCCACGTCAGTACAGCAGTCTGGAAATTTATGCCAGGCAGAGGCAAACGCCTACAGTGTTTCCATCTGAGAAGAAAAAAGCAGTGGGCATAGACTACTTTTAAAATATGGGTTTTAACAGGACAACGTTGCCGTGTTTTGGAAAGCAAAATCTCCCATGAATGCCTCGCTGCTGGAAATCAACACCTGGCTTTCTGTCTTTTTAACTTGCCAAAGCACAACCTGACGCGACAGTGGTAAGTAGAGGACTGGCATGGGTTAAAATCCACTGGTTTGAGTTGTACAAAGTGAATCACGTTGCAGGCTGGTTAG